TGAGCGAGTTGACGGTGATGGAGCTGCACTTGGAGATGTCCGTGCCCTTCTTGTACGTGCCGGAAAGAGTGCAACCACTGCCCGACGGCGTCGACTGCTGCTGTTGCTGGGTCGGGTCTTGCTGCTGCGTCGGATCTTGCTGTTGCGTCGGGTCATCCTGTTGCACCGGAGCCTCAGTGGGTTGTTGGGTTTTCTTGCTTTTCTTTCCTTCCGCGGCTTGACGGAGCATGGGGGACGCTTCAGTCGTAGCAGCGAGGAGTGCGAAGACAGCAAAGGCAGTAGAGAGTAGTTTCATGGTTGAGTTATTCCTTTGAGAGCAGCTCTTGTGTGAGGTGTTGCGCCGAAGAGGCAAATTGGGAAGTGAGGCTCAAGGATTGAGCTATGATCTTGTGTCTCCTCCGTCTCAAGAGTAAGCGCAGTGAGTCGGGGACCATTAGTTCGCTTTGATGTTCGAGCTCGGTCCGGCTCAAGCAGCAGGCATCCCCTCTGTTGGTGCCCGTAGGCCAGATGGATCGCTAGTATCCCGGATACTCAACTCAAGCCGACAAAAAGCTCATTCAACGGTCAACGATTGAGACCATGACTGACACTGTGTCAGACACACCACAAGCCAGCAAATCTAGACGATCAAAGGTCCGCCGTAGAGCAGCCACGTCCGTGATGAACCGGGCCATTGGGACAAGAGACTTGAGATCCTGTCAAGTTGTCAGCGTGCGACTGTAACAAGTGTTTCCTCTGAATTGGGCGGCTGGAACTGCCGATGAAAGCTCATGGCAATCATGTTCCCGCTGGGGTGAGCGCGGGACACTACTTTAGTCTTTCACACAAGGCCAAGGAATAGCAACGTTCTTATTAATACCGGTATGCATTAAACCAACCTTTGACAGCCTCCAGAGTCATTCGACTTAGCTTCGACATGCTGAGTTGTCGTGTCACTCTCTCTTGTCGCGACGTCCTAGAAAAATGCTGTACCACCACTGCGATGGCTCGACGACGTTGCGTTCGTGTTGTCAGTTCAAAGCGCTCCATAATTTGCTTTTCGCCGTTAATCGGTCGACTATTTCTGTACACCCCTCAACCAGGCGACATTCGCAATGGCACAACAACTCTAAAGTGGCAGACGCCATTGCATGAGGCTGCGCTGTCCACGGAGCTTTAGTGCGCGAGATTCCCCATGGTGCATCTAGCTTCTAAAAGCAGCGATCGAGATCAATGGTGTCAAGTCAAGCTTCGAGATGGCGCATGTAATATCAATTTCCAGAGCCTGTGAGTCAATCGTAGTGCATAAACGTTGGAGTGGCCTTTTGCTGTTTGAATAACTAGCCATGTGGACACAATCTGACGAAAGGTGTGCGAACGACTTGACAGTCTTCTGCCAACGGGTTATCGAGAAGCAGGCGCCAGTGGAAATTAACAGGCACGTGTAAGTTTGTGTTCCGACCGATCGCAATTACTGGTTGGAGCCGCCAGTGCCCGTACATGTAGTGACTGAATTCAATGAAATTGTGTGTGAATGAGGATTCACTAACGGAGCTACTCGTGGATAAATGCAGTCCAAACCATTGTGTTGTCTGATTCCTTCGTGTGTGTACACCGTTCAGACTAATTAGTGTGAACGATATAGGCGCCAACCTCTGCAATGTACGCTCGAACAGACCAACGGTTATCAGCCTTTGAAGTACACGTACATTTGTTGTGCTTCGAAGTGAACATGCAACGTTAGCGAGTTTATTGCTCGTTGATTTTCTTGAAATGCAATCGTAGTCAGTATTAGTTGTCGAGGTGTATCAAGCATAATTCCTTGAAGTGACATTCAAATTATCCAGGTAAAGTAAGCTACTAAGTGATCTTGTACACGTAACGTGGCATGGTGTAACTAACTCCAAGAGCGCCTGGTCAATTGAACGCCCAACACCTTGCAATGCTTACTGTAATCTCGGTTGCAACGAATGTAACGCTTTTCATGTTTCGTTCAAATTCACATCCATTTTATTGTTTTGGTTTCCTGTCCTCCCACTCTATTGGCCTTCTGTCGACCAAGAGGACTCCGTATTACGACGACAGACCAGAATCTGGCCATATCTAAACGGCAACGCCACCAGGCACACCGTTCAGCTTGCCCTTAGCCGCAGCCTTCACCTGGATACCTGAGAACTTCCAGCTTGAAACCGCCTTCGGGTTCACCTCGATGTCGTACAGGTTCGTAGCTGTACCAGTAAGGCCTGAGACGGTAACACCCGTGATCTGCGCCTGACTGGTAGCAGCACCCGTGTAGCCACCCTTGGACTTGCTGTAGTCCGAGTGCACCACAATCGCGTTCCTCACGTTAGACAGATTGTTGTCGATGAACTTGACGTCCTTGACGAGACCCTTTAGACCGATGATGGTCTTGATGCGCAGACCGTTGTCACTGTCGTGGATGTGGTTGCCCTGAACCGTAAGACCCGCCACGGTAGTAGTCTTATCAACTGCATTACCACCAAGCGAGCCGACCGAGATACCGTGGCTGTTGTAGCAGTGGTTGTTCGTAAAGAACGTATTGGTACTGGACTGCATAGCTAGACAGTCGTCCTGGTTGTAGATCGTGTTACCCGTGATGGTGATGTGGTCATTGCAGCTAAGATCGAAGCCATCCGTGTTAGTGGCGATGCCGTTGCCAGCCCTCGAGTCAAGCGTCAAGCCCGTGAGAGTCGTGTACATCGAGTCAACGATACTGAACGTGCGGTACGGCGCGTTCATGATAGTGAAGCCTGAAATCGTGGAGTGAATGACCTTGTGCACCTGGAAGAATACCGGACGGGTGATCTGCTGGCCCTGCTTCCAGTACCAGGCTCCCTGTCCATCCAGTTTGCCGTTGCCTTTCACTGTGATGTCCGTTCCGCTTAGCGTCACAAGTGGACCGTTCCACTTAAGCGTTCCGAACGTGGTCGTACCCGAGAATTGAATGGTAGCTCCGTTCTTGGCTCGACTGAGATCTAGCGTCACGCCAGCAGGGACACTCAAAGATCCGATAGTAATAGTACTGCACTGCGAAATGTCCGTGCCCTTCTTGTACGTGCCCGTGAGGTTACAGGTGCTGGTGCCCTGTTGTTGCTGCTGGACTGGGTTGCCTTCGGCTTCTTCGCGCAGCATGGGCGAGCCGTTAACAGCGGCGGCGATGAGCGCGAAGGCAGTGAGCGCAGCGTGCGTGAGCTTCATGGCTTTGTTTGGCTTGAGAGGAGTGATCGACTGAAGGCGAATTGAGAAGTGAGGGGTTTGAGATAGGGATCGAGTGGTAAGGATCTCTTTGTGTGAGCTCGCGAGTTAACGTTGAGACAGCCCCATCGCTTTAAAGTTCGAGCTCTAGCATATCTGTTGATTGTTAGTATAAAGAACGGTGAGCCGATACATCCACACTTGAAGACCAACCACATAGTTTACAAAAAATTCGGTTCAACTCGACAGCATGCACTCTGCCATACGATAACAAAGCCGCATCGTGTAGCCACCTTCTATAAGCCTGAGACTTAGAAAGATTACAGTGGTTGTGGCACCAATACCTGTAGCCGAACAACACCAAGAAAATGATTGAGAAGGTCCGCTGTGGCGTTCAAACATACAGATTTTGCTATTAACAGGTTACAGCAAATGTTTTCGCCGAACGAACATAAACTCGATTCGTTCGTGGCAACGAAGGATCGTGCACTCGACGGAACTCTTGATGTGTAGCCTTGAGTGTTTGGAGTTACAAACTACTCAAGTGACTGGGTTAGCTCCTCAATTACAAATAATTGCAAAATGGCGGCGTCCTTGCCATCCAACATTGCACTTTCAAGTTAAAAAAATAACAACAGTTGCAGTAAGAGCCAGGTGTCCGTATCGGATAATTTCATTTTTCATTTTCAGTAAGGCACATTGAAGTTATTTAAAGCTAGCAATTCGTATCTGATACAGCCAAATTCAAGATACTTGTCGACTGACATGCCCCGCATATTACGGCGCAGTGGTATTTGCGCGAGTTGTGTTTGCTACCATGACAAAGAAATCATACCACTTGCGCGCGGTTTTGCCATATATTTGTCCGGTACTACATACAGTAACTGGCAACACCACGAAAGGGCCGGCAACGTCTTTTTTTTTAATGCGCGACGGTGTATCAGCTTGGTTCGCGTACGAGTGCCTCGTCGTAGTATCATCCGCGGTTCTGTCTAGAAGGTTGCTACGACCGTCGACCAAGTCGTTGTTCATGGAGTTCTGATGTACGATACCCCTCGTACCGCAACAAAACGAGGAAAAAAAAATACTTCGATACTTGCCTGCAATCGTCTTCTGTAGAGCCGGCACTAGCGTTCACTTGTTACAAGGCTGAAATTCCAGCTTCATGTGCATTGCTTACGCTTGCAATATCTCGCATATAGATAGTACAGAGTCCACACGTCGTAAGTCCTGTGCTTGACCGCGGCGAAGAATTTATAAGCTTCCCCGCGTACGCTATAAAATGTAACTTCAAAGGAACAGCATCTTATGCGCAAAACCAGCGCTAACCAAGAAGTATTACATCAAATTCATTGTATTGACTCAATATCCCGTGTTGAATCTGTCTACTGTCGACCATTGGGATGTCAATTCACAAGGGCTCGAAGCCTTGACTTGTACTTCTAAACGGCAAGGTTGTTCGGCATGCCGGCGAGCGTACCTTTGAGCGAAGCGCTCACATCGATCCCCGAGAACGTCCAGTCCGATACGACCTTGGGGTTCGTCTTGATGTCGTACAGGTTCTTAGCCGAACCGGTAAGACCAGCGACCGTCACACCTGTGATCTGCACCTGGCTGGTCGGGGCACCCGTGTACCCACCCTTAGCCTTGCTGTAGTCCGAGCGGATAACAATGGCGTTCTTCACATTCGAAAGCTCATTGTCGACATACTTGACATCCGTCACGAGGCCCTTGAGACCAATAATAGTCTTGATACGAAGACCATTATCGCTGTCTACAATGGTGTTACCTTCAACAGTAAGACCCTGGACCGTAGTCGACTGATCGACGGCGTTACCACCAAGAGAACCGACCGAGATACCGTGACTGCCGCAGCAGTAGTTGTTGCTGAATACCGTGTTGGTACTGGACTGCATGGCGAGACAGTCGTCCTGGTTGTAGATCTTGTTACCGGTGATCGTAATATGGTCGTTCTTGGTCAACCCAAAGCCGTCCGTGTTCTTAGCCAGACCATTGCCGGCGCGGGAGTCAATGGTGAGGCCCGAGAGGGTCGTGTCCTTGCTGGTGACGATGCTGAAGGTGCGAAATGGCATGTTCTTGATAGTGAAGCCAGACACCGTTGAGCTCAGAACATTCTGGAGACGGAAGAAGACCGGACGGGTGATCGACTGGCCCTGCTTCCAGTACCACATTCCCTGGCCGTCGAGAGTGCCGGAACCCTTGACAGTAAGGTCCGTTCCGCCGACCAAAACAAGCGGGCCAGCCCACTTCTGCGTACCGAATGTTGTGGTGCCAAGGAACTCAATGATGGCACCCTTCTTGGCCTTGCTCAGGTCAAGGGTGACGCCAGCCGGTACAGTGAGGGAGTTAACTGTAATTTGGCTACACGATGAGATATCGGTGCCCTTCTTGTATGTGCCAGTGAGGTTGCAGCCCTTGCCCGACGTCACCGGTGACGTTTGCTGCACGGGGTCCTGCTGGACCGGGTCCTCCTGCTGGACCGGGTCCTCCTGCTGGACTTCCGGCTTAGGAGTCTTGTTTTTCTTACCCTCCGCGGCTTGGCGAAGCATGGGGGAACCCTCAGTCGTAGCTGCTAGAAGAGTGAAGACAGCGAGCGCAGTGGAGAGGAGCTTCATCCTTGTTATGTGTGATTTTTAGAACTCAGTCGGTTGTGCTTGCCGAGGCAAATTGGGAAGTGAGGACTGGGATCCAGCTGGATCGAATGGCGATACGAGTGTCCCCTCCCTTCCGTTGGTAAACCTAGACTTGAGGTAGTAACCATTCGTTTACTATAACGCTTCAGCAAAACCTCAGCTCTCTCTAACATTGCACGCTGCCATGTGGTCCGATAAGCTTCTACGTCTGTTCTTCGTTAACTTCTTGACCAGCGCGATCCACTTCTATGGTCGCAGAATTTTAATACATTTTAATCGATAGACTTCAACATGTACGGTGACGTTCAAATCGACAGCGAAATCGAGCCGATCTGTCAGCTTGCGACTGTAACAAGTGTTCCTACCGAATTAAGCAGCTGGAATGGCGGCGCAGACTTAATGGAAGCACAATGCCTGCACACGCCGTTCCAGTGTGCTCTCGCCAACTTGCAAACGGAAAATATGTTATTACAAATGTAAAATGGTCTTAGGAATGTTGGTTAGGCACTGCCGAATCACGAAACCAAGACTCCTGGATGGAACTCATTTACTGTCTCCTTAACTCAACAAATACATTTAGGGTATTACACAGTAACACCCTGTAGAACTCATATGCTGTGCCCCTTGAACCGACAACCACAATACAGTTTGTAGATACGTACCTGCTGTTGCGTTCGTGTCGTCAATGCGAAATGCGCCATGATGCGCAATTCATTGGCTGTTGCTCAGACTCCCATCTTTGCACAGGCCTCAATCTGGCGACGAGTGCAGCAAGTCGCTGTTTTGCTGTCAGCAACAGAGCAAAGCTGAAATGACGGATCGGAACTTGCTCTGCTAGTGCAAAACTCGTAAAGCCCTGTTAGACTATTATCCCAACATTTTGAAAACACTGATCGGTAGCAGACTCCAAAAGTTTTTGTTAGTGAAGTTTGGTCACACAAGCATGAGTCAAATGAATGATACACTCGGCTATGCACTGACGTCAGTCAATCGATGTGGCCGTTTGCTGTACTGGTACAGTAGCGTACAATACAGGCTTTTTACGACTAGCCAACACGACCACTCGAAATGTTTGCGATTGACTTGCCAGTCACCTCGCCATCGGTTTATTGAGAACCAGGCGTTAATGGACACAGCTTTTGGTTTGGGGCATCATGTGTTTCGCGCCACGATTCCCGTATCTCCGAGGATTTCCACCACGCACATGTACAGCCTGATGGAGGCTGAAGTTGGATGGGCATTCTTACCTGACCGCGTTTGATGCTGCAGCGCTCTCGCTACGGCACTGTATGCTTTCTTTACTTTTCTTCGGAAGTGGCTTTCTTAACATCATCGAGCGATTTCTTGAAGGAGTCTTGGTTTGCTCCATTTCGGGATGATCACATCTGCTAACCAACAGTTTCCTTGTAGGCTCCGTTTTAACAACGGCACTATATGTAACGTTCCCATTCTTACACTTGGAAAATGCTATTTCCACGGATGCGATCATGTAGGTAAGAAAACTTGAATCGTGATACTTCTGCGTTGAATCTGGTTCAATTGTTCGTGTTTTCTTGCTATTGAGTCAGCAGTACCACCGAAACATATCCGTGCCAACAATGTAAAGCAGTCAAATACTCTGCAAACAGTGAACATTCAAAGAGCAATTGGGTTGAAAACAAAGTACATCAAATTTTATCGTTACGCTTTATCGCTCTACAATAGAAAATAGGGATGCCAATTCGCACGAATAGATTCTAGACTAGACACTACAGTTTTATCTTCTCTACACGTCGAGGCTGTTGGGTTGACCAACCGCCTTGCCGTTCGCGGACGCGCTCACCTGAATGCCTGAGAACGTCCAGTCCGAGACCACATTCGGGTTGGCGACAATGTCGTACAGGTTAGTGGCCGAACCGGTCAGACCGGAGATCGTTACACCTTCAATCGCAACAGCACTCGTAGGGGAGCCCGTGTATCCTCCCTTCGACTTACTGTAGTCAGAGTGCATGACGATAGCATTCTTAACGTTCGAAAGCTGGTTATCAACGTATTTGACATCGGAGACCAGACCCTTGAGACCGATGATGGTCTTGATACGGATACCGTTGTCGCTGTTCTGAATGGTGTTGCCCTGCACGGTCAGACCCTGAACGGTGGAAGACTGGTCGACGGCGTTACCACCGAGTGATCCGATCGACACACCGTGGCCACCGCAGCAAAGGTTGTTGCTGAAGACCGTGTTGGTGCTGGACTGCATGGCGAGACAGTCGTCCTGGTTGTAGATCTTGTTGCCGGTGATCGTGATGTGGTCGTTCTTGGTCAGGTCGAAGCCGTCCGTGTTCTTAGCCAGACCATTGCCGGCACTCGAGTCGAGTGTCAGACCGCTCAGCGTTGTCTGCTTGGACGTGACGATGCTGAACGTGCGGAACGGGGAGTTCTTGAGCGTGAAACCCGACAGCGTCGAGCCCACGACGTTCTGCAGACGGAAGAACACGGGCCGGGTGATCGACTGACCCTGCTTCCAGTACCACGCACCCTGGCCGTCGAGCGTGCCGGAGCCCTTGACGGTGAGGCTGTTGCCTCCAAGCAGCACGAGCGGGCCTTCCCATTTGGCTGTTCCGAAGGTGGTGGTGCCGGTGAACGTAATGGTAGCGCCACTCTTGGCCTTACTCAAGTCCAGTGTTACACCAGCAGGCACGGTGAGCGAACCGATAGTCACCGAGCTGCAGGACGAGATGTCGGTGCCCTTCTTGTACGTGCCGGTGAGGTTGCAGCCACTGCTGCTAGTGCTACTCTGCTGTTGTTGCTGCACTTGCTGCTGTCCAGTCTTGGTCTTGCCTTCGGTTTCCATGCGGAGCATGGGCGAGGCATTGGCGGAGGCAACAAGTAGAGCGAAGATAGCGAACGCGGTGGAGAGAAACTTCATGGCTGATGCAAGGACACAGTCGGTGGCGCAGGAGGTGCTTGGCCAGTGGCAAATTGGAAAGTGAGGTATGTGCTCAAGCTTAACGGTAAACTAGTACCCCTTGAGACAACGGATATACGATAAAAATTGAGCCAGGCATTACAGGTAGTTCGATATTCTCTTCTGTTCGAAGGACACCGTGGTCCGGCTCAAGTCGATAGTATTTGATGTCCGCAAGTATTGCACGGTTATTTGGGTTGCTGGTCGCTGTGCTCGATCGGACACATTTGGTGTCACCTTGACACTGTCGAGATCCTTTATTTCGTTGGCCAGATCGTATCCAACACCACAATACTACAAATCGATACGATCCAACTCGCCGAGTACTACTTCGGAGGTGAACAAGTGTTTTCCCCGAAAAGTGTGGATGTAGGTGGGTCAAAGCCAGCCACAGCATCGTCGTGTCCTCAGCTATACTGTATGGTCGTTGCGTCAGTGTAGATAAGTCGGTGTAAACAACTATTTATTCAATTTTTCTCTACCAGGAAGGTAACTACGCGATTCGTTGAATAATTTTTTTTTTCTCACACATACTTTCATAGCGGTTACGAGCAGAATGCGTGTAAATGGCTCGATTTGAGCCACAAGCTACGCAACCATAGTCTTACATCTAGAAAAGGCAAGGGGCTACTCATTCATTCCAATCTCACGAGTTCAACAGCGATACAGCCTGACCGTCTCGCTCCTTATGCACTGTTGAAGGAATTATACATCGTGAATCATGATCCATAATTATTAGTGTTCATGACGAATGAGATGCAACAGAATACGCCACATATATTATACAAAACTTGCTCCTATCTTTTCTTTTCATTAAAGACGTTGCCACA